CTCCTCCTCCTCCTCCTCCTCCTCCACCACTGCCCCAACGGCGGCCGCTCAGGCGGCCGTCTCGCACATCACCAACCGCGACACAACAACAGACACCACCCCCACCTCTCCCGACTCCAGCGATGAGGATCAGGACAACACCTGCCCTCATTGCGACCACACCTTCACCTCACACATCGGCCTGGTCGGTCACTTGCGAATCCATCGCCCAAAGACTGGCAAGCCAGTGGCTGGAACACCAACCTACACCCATCGCACTCGCCTCCACTGCCCACACTGCCCTCGCACCTTCACGCATCGCATGGATCTATTCGGCCACATGCGCATTCACGAGAGCGGAATTGACCACAATTCTGACACACCCACCACATCCAACACACCCACCAGACCCCACACCACCCTCGCTCCATCGCCACACGCGCCCATCACCTTCACCACCTCCACCACCACCGCTTCCTCTACAGCTGACACCGACAACGTCGACCTCTCATGCCCACACTGCCCACGCACGTTCACCTCACGCATCGGCCTGGTCGGTCACATGTGAATCCATGGCACAGAGACTAGCGAACCAGTGCCTGGAGCACCAACCTACACCCACCACGCTCGTCTCAACTGCCCACACTGCCCTCGCACTTTCAGGCATCGCATGGGCCTAATTGGACACATGCGCATCCACGATGACCTGCGGTAGATAACGTCCGGTTAAACCACACATCCACACACTCCCTACCTTCCTCCACCATCACCACCACACATCAACACGCACCCAACTGCCACCTCCCACGCAAGTGGGAAGTCCGCATCTCGACTCGGTCCCCATGCGGCTTCGGCTGCACGGGTGACTTGAGTCCGAGACTATTCTGACACGTCAAGCGTCGTGGATAGGAAGGTTGCTGATTGACGCCCGCTCTCGGCTAACGCAGTTCGTCGTGTTGTGTGTGTGTTGTGTGGAGTGGCGGACTGGTGGGCTGGGGACGGGCTGAAGCTGCACCTTCCACGGCCCTCTCACGCAAGTGAGAGACACGCCGTTCAACCCCCGTTGTGTGTATGGGGGGCCAGGTCGTGCCGTGGCTCGCGCAGTCATGATCAGTCGACCATGACAGCCACCGCGCCCATTTCCCACTCCAGTCTAATGACCGGCTCCGACAGCGGCTGGGGTGTGGGAGGAGGAATAAGAGCGTGAGGTCGACGACTCAGCGCATTTTCCTCACTATAAACAATCTGACGCGCTTGAAGCTATCACGGTGCGCTAAAAGCCGTGGCTTGGAAGGTTGCCAACTGACGGGGTAACTTGGACCTCCTCTTTCACGGGAGGCGGTCTGAGAGTCAGGCTGCAATGGCTCCTTTTTAATGTGGCCTTTATGGCACTCTCACCACAGTGTGCGATCCGAGCCAGGCGTTGGTGGTTCGCCTAGGTACGACTTCGGTCGTGCCAGCTCCAAATCTCTGTTGTTGGTTGAAATCCTGG